TTGTATAGTGGCTACCCAAATATTTCTGCCTTCATATTTGTTCTTAAACCAACCTTGAATCGAGCAATTGTTTGGCAAAATTATTCTACGATACAATTTTTTAACATTAGGTCTTCAAATATTTGAATATACTCTGTGACAGATAGGTTACATTGTTCCAAATTAATAAGTTGTTTGCACAACTTGCTACAATAGTTTGAGAGCATATACTTCTGTTGAGGCTTAGCTTTCATCTCTTGTCATGTATTGATTGACAACAATCCCAATCTTTTTAAATCACCTTCAACACCATTGTCCGCTCGTCCAAAAAATTGTACTTTGTAAAGTATTCCTCAATAGAAGTAAGTCAACCAGAGAAAAATGTAATATCATTTCTTTCATCAAAATCTTGGATCTCCATTCCCAAATCAATATTTAAGCCGTATAACATAGGATTTTTCAGCTTTAATACCAAAATTGATGTAGGATAACTTTGTAAAATAAACAACAGGGGCTGTGAATAGTAATGGGACTGTGAACGGGGACGTGAATAGTAACTTTGACTAGGAATCACTCCTAGGATTCCTTAGGCATTACACCTAGGGGTTGGAATTGCATCACACAACTCAAGAAGCATATAATTGCTGAAATTTCTGAAATATCTCTCCTCCTTTTATTAAAAATATCACTAATTATATATAGAGTTCTAATTTCTGCTAATCCCAAAAGATTAGGATTATAAAGTCTCTAGGACTCCAAAAACTCTACGTCCCTAAAAATTAGAAAACTAAAATTAACTAGAAGTAGAAGTAGGACTAGGACTTTAAATTCTAGAATATTCAACACTAGAATTTGACCCAAAAATATCACCAATTCCAGAAATTCTAGAAATTAGAAAAATATTCTTGACTCTAAAAAATATTAAAAGGACATATAAAATACTAATACTAGCAAAATGATTTAAAATAAGACTCAACATACAATAATGCAAGGTTCCATATGGATTTTTGCTTTGATAGAAAGTCAATTTCATTATCTTTCACATATTCGAATTTGCGTTTCCTTGAGCGTCTTATGGATTGCATCACCTAATCAACAAATTCAAATCCCCTCTAATACATTTAAAAATATCTCAAGTTGTCACATAAAACTTAAAGAAATTATGAATTGAGAAGACGAGCCATCAATTCGTGCTGAGGCTCTAGTCATTGAGAGAGAGTGAGTAGGTAAAAGGAAACAATGGTAAAAATTAAAATCGAGATGAAGTGGTTCACTATTGAAGCTTTGGTGAAAGGTCGAAAAGCATTTTTTCTTATCATTGAGAAAATCACAGAAAAGTTTTTGCGTTGGATATTGAAACGATTGGTGCTTTATGGTTACGAAAAGGCCTTCATGAAGAGGCTAGAGATGAATATAAAGGTCTTTTCTTCAGGAAAATGTTGGGCGGAGATTATTCGATGTGGATAGAAGTGGTTGATAATGGTAGAGGCGACTTCATCAAAATAACGAAATTGTTCCAAAATGGGTTTGATTGTTCCCAAAGGAATAGAAGGTAAAGGATGGTATCATCTTGCTTCTGTTATCATAGATATGGTGAACAGAAGGTGTGACCATAGCGACTTTCCTATGGTTAAAATAGAGCATCTATTGTTGAGTTAAAAGGTAGGGATTCTGCTCAGATTTTCTTCAAATGAAAATGATATAATTGTTGTTGGGAGATGGGATAGAGCAGTTATTTGTGTTAGAGAGCATTTATTATTCATAGAATGACATTCAGCGTTCTTTAGCTAGAAAGTTAAACTTTGATGCAAAACTTTTTCCTTTCCAAGTTGATCGCACAATCATGTTTTGTAACATCTCTTCTATTGCTAATGAGATCTATGGGTGGGGGGTAATTGCCATTTAGAAGGTCCTTTCCTTGTGAAGTTTTTGAGGTGAAAGTCAAAATCAAATTCGATCAGTGGTAGACTATCATTTTTAGGAGGATGGATCGGGATTGAGGGGTTTGGCTTTTCATCTTTGTAAACATGACGTATTCACTTAGTTCGATTAATCTGGAAAAACTATTTATGGTAAAAATCAAGGTGAAGAAAACGTCTTCGAGAAGTATTCTAGTATCTTTGGCTATTGAACTCCAAGGAAAGATGTATCGGGTAAAAGTTATGCTTCTATCAAGGCCTTGGAGCAAAAGTTTTCATGCTCAGTATAGCTGAAGAGTTGGAGGCACAGAGATTTCATGCACCGTCGAGAGCTTGAAGATGATAAATTAGGTCAATTGGGTACAAGTTGCATAAATAAGTCATTGGATGTATATTAGATTGGTGAATTGAAGGTTAACATAAATGGTAATTGGCTAGATTTAAATGGGGGAACACGAGTCTGGGAAGAGACCTGTCATTAACGAAGTTTATTCCCAAGATAATAGAGCAGTTATGACGGAATTTGAGTTTCAAAATAAGGATCAAGGGGCCATAATTTCGGATTTACCAGAAAATTCGATTAAAAACTACATTGGACTGTTAAATAAGGGGTCTGAAGCCCAATAAACCAATAAAAGTGATCCTGAGCCAATGCACAGAAACTATAAATGGTCTGAGTAGGGTTGGGTCCACTAAATTTGGGCCTTTTAAACAAAAAGCCATTACATTGGTTTAAGTTTATAGTCAATTCAAGTTCGGATCAAAACCCATCTTTATAAATTGGAAAGTTGTTTGTAGCTCATAGCAACTTTTTTTGTTTTGATTATGTTCTTTTTTGGTGGACTTCTTATCTACTAACTTTGTTCATTAATATCTTTCAATGAAATGAAAATTTTGTTTATTATCAAAGAAAATTCCCTCCAATACATTTTCTTTCAAATATCTTCAATGTCAATTCACTCATTATAAATCCAAGTAGGACCCCTTTATTCAAGTTAGGAATGATGATTTCCATCATGACCCATCAACCGGATAAAATATCGACACATGAATTTAGACTTGATGCGTTTGGGTCATAACTAAGTTGTCTAAGTAAACCCACTGAATTAATAGGTCAATACAAACATAATTATGCATGACTTGACCAGACTATAAACATCACCAAACAGTCCATAGAATATAAGTGGATCAGGTATTAATGAAGAATTTTATAAACGGCATGACTTATACACAGCACGAACACAATAGGACATGACCCATTGCAAACCTCAATTCAAGTGGGACCAATATCAATACACAATAATTGATCTAACATTGAGAGAAATTGAAAGGATAATGTGATAGCGTATTGGAAGGAACAATAATCCCAAATTGTCAAATCAAGCAATTAAGGTTTTCTCACAAATCCAAAAACAAAAAAACATAGAAAGAAAAGAAAATCTAACCACGATGCGCTAGGAAGCACTGATACCTTATTATACCAAAATGCAGGTTGTTTAATACGTTTGAGATATGAATATTTGGACACGCTCGAACACATCCATGCAAAAATGAGCCAATTTTTCCTTATTTTTTCAAAGACACATTTCAGGTACGTATAATATCGCGGAGAACACATTTTGCACATGTTTGAGACACACTATCGACACGTATTAGAGGATATGTTTCAGGGTTTTTTGTCAAATTTTTGAAAACATGTCAAACAACTTTATAATAAGGAAGTTATTTTGTAATTTTAAACAAATGGTGGTCAAAGTTGTGATCTAAAAAGAATTATAAGCTACCTTTTAGTAGAAAATTTTGGTATCTGCCTTTTGTTCGTTAGAGGAAACATTGAGAGAGAGAGAAGGCAATAAGTAAGGATCAAAATTTCGTTCCGATGCATTGTTTCTGTCATCTAAGAAATGAAAATATTTTAACATGTTTTGAAAACGTTTCGACATATTTTGGAAACATTTCAACATGTTTCGGAAACAGAATGAAAAAAATAAACTATATATATATATATATATATATATATATTTTTTTCCAAAATATTTGTTGAAATACACCAAAATATCTTGAAATATGTTAAAATATTCAAAAATAATTATGCAAATACAGAAATATTACAAAACATCTCGAAACATTATTGAACACCTCAAAATATTAAAATTTTGATTTCGTCACTGATTCATTTTAGTCTCCTTGAAAACGAAAATGTTTCAAACGCTTCGACCCTTGCAAAACGAAATTTTGATCCTTGGCAATAAGGATACACTGACGAATTAAAATAAGGATTACAAAATTGGGGATTTTTGAAATTGTAATTGTACTAATTATCGAACGTTGGATCATGGATGTTTCAGATGAATTTATATTGATACTTTATTTGCTATTTTATGATTTCGTAATGGGAATTGTTGAACTTGTGAAAACGTTGAATTGAGTGGTTATTATTATTTATACATTTTTTGATACAATGACATGATATGGTGTGATTGTTGCCTAAATGACTCGCGATGTGAATAGTTGGAATTGTGGAAAGGTCGACTTTAGTGATCCTTATTAAGATATAGTTATTGGTTCATTGATGTGATATGACGGGATTGTTTTATATATGACTTATAGTTGATCTCTTATGATTAGTAAATACTTGAACTCTTAATTTCACTGAAAATAAATATATAATACTTGGTGTGTCCCCCCAATGTTTTCCTGTGTCCTGATTTTTGAAAACTTCAGTGTCAACAAATCCGTGTCTTGTGTCCTACGTCCATGATTTGTCGACCATGTGTCATGCCTCCACCAAGAAAAAACATTAGTTGATAGAAACATAGACATTTCTCAAGACAAAACTTAGGAAATCTTCTAACATAACACCTTGCATCTATCTCAAAGTGATGCAGGCTCGCAGATCCTAGGTTCAAAGTAAACTTCTAAACTAATTCAAAAAAATTTCAATGTCGGGACATTATCTTATTTACTTATTTTAGCATCCATCTGTTGAACTGGGAAATCTCATATTTATCTCAGCCGAAGATAGGAGAAAAGTGTGTTCTGTCTAAAAGTAGAAGGGTGAGGGGATCACATGTATGTAATTGTACTGCAAAGTGTTATAAATCATACCTGTATAGACTGCATAACAGGTGTCCCACCAGGTGCATCTTCATCACTGCGAAGACGGAAGGTTACTGTCACTGCTCTGAAGTGAACCAATCGATTAAGACAAAATGACTTAAATAAACTGAACTTACTTCATATAATTCTGGAAATACAGATCTTCACGCACTTTAGAAGTCAACTCCATCAAAAGGTCTGGATGTTTCAACTTTAAATGCTTATGGACAAACTCCGCAGCATGGAAGAGCTTCGTACAGCCCTTAGCTCCACAACCATACTTCCATCCATACTTCTCATCCCTAATTTTTCGGACATATGGATCCAAACCTTCAACAGCTGCCGCATCTATTTTTTCCTTGGCTGTCATTGCTTCCAAGGGATCCTGACCCTTCAATCTCTCTTGCCAATGTGCATCTAGTTTCTTTTCCCACTCGGCTCCATTGTTAGTAACGTTAGAACTCTTGCCATCCATTCTCACATGCCGGAGACCGTTGGCTTCACTTGTTTCAATCAATCCGTAATAATCCAATCCATGAATCCGCCATAGATAAGTAATAAGTGTATCCAGTAACTCAGTCCCCTCAAGACCTTTGACGGAGGTTGAACCCCGTATGATAATGACTGGGCCAGTGTTACCAACATGAGACTTTTCTCTGCTCATTCTGTCATTGTCAACCCTACATAATATATTATCCTCCACTCCCTTCTCCGAGTCTAGTTTCCGTATCAATGCCTGTGCTTGTTCAATGTCAACTTGGATTCTCCTTGGTTCAGAACTGACTGGGTGGGCCTTGGGAGCAGCAGAAAGAAGATCAGTTTCTTTAGTCAGACCCCTACCATGCCGTCGTCTTGTGCCATTCACATCTGTGTCATCATCAGAATTAGGATCACTTGCCTGCCCTGATTTGTTTACGGATGAGGCTTTCACACTAGGGCTTCTGCTTCATGTAAAACAAGGTAATCGGCATCATATTATAGTTACAAAATGAGTAGAAATGTCCAAATATAAACTGAAAGAGTCTAAAACCTACAAATCCAATGTTCCACTCTGCAAATCAAACAACAAATTCTTCGCCACCTTCCGCGCAAGCTCATTCCTCCTAGAAAGACATTGACAAGAGAACACCTTAAAATTACCGAAAAATAACAATGAAACCCTAATTATTCACAAAAATATCTGCTGACTGCATAATAAAGGCACTATATTCTTGTATAACAGTTTAAGCATTACTATTTTTCTCTACCATAACATACAAGTATACAGCAGAACACACCTTTCAATGACAGCAACTAAGTTTGTAGGATGGTATTTGTCTTTCAACCTGCATAAACAAGCAACTTCAATTGGAAAGGCATGGCAACAAATAACAAAAGATACTGAAGAAAAAGATGAGATGTACCATTCTTCATCTTTATGAGCATCAAAGAAAGCTCGTTTCTGAGTTGATATGTACTCTGTCCTATATTCTTGATACCTGCGTAAAGCAAAGGCCAGAATCCACCAAATATTTTTAGGCTATTTTTTCCCCCAACATTTAAAGACTAAGGAAAAAAAAATGTTCAGTTAAGTTCCAGGTCAGCGACCTAATAAAACATTCCATTGCTGTACCTGCGCTCAGCCTCAGCAGGCAGAATATCATCTTCAAGCTCCTGAATGAATTGCTTATAAGACATCAATCCTTCTCTGTAAAAAGAACTTGTGATGTCATTTTGCCGTCAGAGTTAAATTCCAATAGCCCATTATATCATAGTGTTAAAAGAACCAAGAACACACATAGAAGATAAAAGCTAATACAAATACATAAGTAGGGAAAGGACTGGATGAAAAAATAGTGCAGAAATTTTCACCATAATTTTCTTTTGTGTCAATGTCAATGAATACGCACAATGAAACTAGTCCAAGAATCTAAACTTAAAACAGCAACACGGAATACCAAGATGTAATATATGAACACTAACAGGTAAAAGAGTGAAGTTAGTTGAAACTAGATCAGAATAAAGGTCTAAAATAGGAGCACTAGCCTGAAAGAAGTAGATTTAGTTGAAACCATAATTGTAAGAAAAGCCAATGAAGCATGCATAAAAAAAGGGCATGGGCAGGGGAAAAATTGAGTTAAATAAAAAACATAGGTTAAAAATATACTATAATGGAAAAGATAAAAGAAAATTACATAAAAAATAAAAGGACATCTAAATGCACGAGGCTCCCGTGACTGCCGGTCTAGAGAGGGTCAGATATACGAAGCCTTACCTCCATATGCAGAGCAGTTGTTTGGACGACTCAAACCTTTGACGCTCAGGTTACAATTGAGCAACCATACCACGGCGCCAAAGCCCACCCTCCAAGTCAAATAAAACATATAGAGCATAATTATCACTACACTAGAAAAGAGGAATGTAGAAAGAAAGTTGAAATATTAGTAGATCAAAGTCTTAACTAGGAAGTAGTACCAATTGTTCTTAATGGACTGATATCCATTTAACTTGTAATAGGAAAAAAAAAATTAGTAAGATTAATGCTTATGCATCTCAAGTAGGATAGGACAAACATACGAAAACTTGATTTGGACACGTGAATGAACTTGCAACAAACATCTATACATAAAAGAATACAATAAAATGATACTTTAATGATTGTATACGAATATATCTTGGATAACACAGGATAGTCTATGGTGGACATGGATCTGGAGTTATGCAAGCTACCGGGGAGTTTGTCTTAGATTTTGCTATGTCATGTGATCTCATGAAAGTAAACACTTATTTGTAAAAAGGCATATAAACATTTAATAACTTTTAAAAGTGGATAAAATCATAGTCAAATATAATTGTTCCTCACTAGACAATTGGACCGATTGTATGGTTATTCTCAAAGAGAGTTTGGTGACACAACATAGGATAATGACACAAAGTGTATGTATTAGAAATCATTTAAAATGAGACGAGAGATTAAAAATTCAAAAACGTGGTGGTCAAATTTAAAAATAGAGAAAACACATACATTGAAGAATAAAATATTAAAAGAAGTAACATGGAATTTGTAAGATAAAATTAATGTGATGTTGAATACAATTTTGGAATGTATAAAAAAGGTATACAAAGCATTAAGGTGATTCCATTCTAAGTTAGATACAAAGAAAAGTATTTATAGACTTACCAAAATTAAATGAGGGCAAAACCAGATATTTTAATCATGTCAAGCCTCAAAAGTCTTCATACAAAACAAGGACATTAAGAAAACATGAAAAATTAATGTAAATTACTAAATGAAAATCACGAAGGAGACTTAGACCTTCAGGAATATAGTAACCATAGAGAGATTAGAGGAAACAAGGTTTTTAGTAAAATTAGGGTGCCTAAAATAAAGAATGCATTAAAATATTAAAGATTAGAAAAAATGTAGGACCCAATAGTATACCTATTAAGGTTTGAACGTATGTAGGGAATATAAAGCTATTTTAATTAACTTACTCATTTAATAACAATATAATGACAAAGAAAATGTGTAATGAGTGGAGTAAGAGTGTTTTAGTACCTACATATAAGAACAAGGGAGACATGAGGGAACCTTCCAAAAACAAGGGAGACATAAAGTATTGCAAAAATTGCAAAAGTGTTAAATTAATGAGCCATACATTGAAACATTGAGAGAAAGTGACCAAGCAATGATTAAAACTTAAAAAAATGGTATCTGAAATTCAATTTGGATTTATACCCGAGAGACTATTAATAGAAAATATATACTTAGAAGACTAATGGAAGGGCTTATGGAGAAAAACAATTCTTTTTTTGTTTGCATAAACTTAGAGAAAACATATGACAGTGTCCCTAAAAATATAATATGATAGGATTTACAGAAGAAAATAATTAAAAATAGGAATATTGATATTGTACGAGAATGAAGCAACTTTAGTGAGAACAACAACAAAGGCACTAGTGAATTTTTAATTACTGAGGCTTACATCTAAATACTACCTTTAAGTATGTATCATTTTGCCCGAGCTATGGATTAATTAATTAGACATGACATTCCGTGACTTATATTATGGTCAATGACAATATTAATTGATAAAGGTAAAATAGGAATTAACAATAAAAGAACTTTCCAAAGCAGCTTTAGAATTAAACAGATTCAAGATAAATAAATTACAATTGAATAAAATTGAACATATAGAATATTACTTCAATAAACATATAAATTCAAATGGGAAGATTATAAAGTTCAAAGATCAAGATGCCAAAGAGTCGACATTAATCATAAAATTAAAGCAATATAGACTAAACTAACTAGATAAATGCACCTGGTGTATTCTGTGATCAATGAATACCGTCAAGCAAAAAAGTAAGTCCTACAAGAGGACCATAAGAAGCATGCTTGGTGGTATGGAATGATGGACAATGAAGTAACAGACACATTCAAAAACGAACTGTGATGAAAATAAAATTGTTAAAATGAGTGTGTGGTAAACGAGAAACAATAGAATTTACAATGAACACACTCGTGAAAAAAATATAAGTTGCATTTACAGAAGATAAATTAAAGTAGAATCGACTTTAGGTTATTTAGACTTGTTTATAGCAGGATTACTATTGCAATACCTATGAACGGAAATGTAGAGAGTAAGTAAAGAAAAATTAACTGTAAATGATATAGTAAAAAAGGATATATTAGATTACGGTTTAACATAAAATATGTTCCGTGACAAAACATTAGAACGGAACAAGTGGATCAAAGTTCAAGACAAATCAGCAAGTACATTAAATGCTCACTAAAACATTGTTTCATATCTGTTAGAGCTTGTCTCACATTGATAAAAAAAACCCCAGAAATAGTATATAAGCCTTTTGGATCTCTTCACCCATTACCAATTGGTTGAGTTAAATGCTTTAACATAGTATTAGAGCTGAGCTTGAACAAAACTCAACTTCATCTAATAGGTAATGGATCCGCCTTTTGTTCATGTCATAGGTGTGCAGGAGAGAATTGGAGATTATCATCAGTAAAATAACACCCCAAAACTTGTATAGTACCCTTGTGGGCCTCTCCACCCATTGTCACTTGGTTTCAAATATATATGATAGCTTAAAACTCAAAATCATCCGATTTCAACCAATGAAAACCCAACTACATGATTGATCTATATCACGTAATTTCACATACAGCATCATTTCAATTAAATGTTGTGTTAGGTGTAATATTAAAAGACCCAACAAAAACATCAAGAATTTACATTGGTCAATGCTAACTTCAATCAATCCCACCTCAACTAAGATGAAATAATCAACGTCTTTCCCACAAATGCAATCTTATGAGGCTTTGCAAATGCATAACTACCAGAAACAAAAAGCACTGGACCAAAGAAACACAGAGAAAGATGTAGGAGGGGAAATTTAAGGCATCTTATGCTTCAAGAGAGGATTCCTGCAAAAATATAGAATAGCAAATGGTTTTATGGACTCTCTGAGAATGATTATGCTACATATTTCAGAAGTGAAATGCCTCTGGTTGGGTTCAGAATGGTGAAAATGAACAGGAAGATGAGAAAGATGAAGATGAAGAAGGATGCAAATTAGTCAAAGGGAGGTGAAACCTCAACTTTATACCCACAGAGGAATGCTTACCTTTGAGCGCCTCCTGCATTGGGAGCATCAGTATAACCACCACGACCTGAATCCCAGTCTGCAAAATAAAACACAAAATGATGAAAATTTGTTGATTAGAAGGAAAGACAGAGAAAAAATATCAGTATGCCATTAAGAAAGTAAAGGTAAAAGTAATTGATAAATAATACAATAGATGACCTAAGCAATGCCACAAAAAAACAAGTGATCATGCAGCAAATTTATAAGTATTACCACAGTAAATTGACTACTGGCAGAAAAACATAACTTCAAAGCTACAAACCAGGATATCAACCCAAACAGCAGAATAGCAGAAAGTTGAAGTAGCAACACGACGAATATTGCAGCTATAAGTACACTAGAAACCAACCTTCTATATTAAAAGTTCAGGCAAGCATTTGGCTCATTTTCTTTCGTTTTTCAATATATAGGTGGGAAAGTGGAAAATGTGATTTAAAAACCTTCACAAACCCATTCCTTTTTTTCTTAAACACAAAAAAAAAAAAGTTTCTGAAATTTCCAAATTTCTGTAAACAAAAGCTCTCTACACTCAATTTACTTAATCCTGAGATGAAAAGCCTGCAAATATGGAAGGTAGGCTCCCTCCCTCACTACTTTATGCATATGTGTATGACAATTCCCAACCACGCAACAATAATGACCACAAACCCCGTACCAGTTGCCCATTCTAATGAAAGATCCTGTGGTGAAAAGGTTGGAAACATAGAAGGTAAGCCCTCTCTCCCTCCTTATTTACCTCTGTGTTTATGAGTCACGATTCCAAACTACCGAACAATAATGGAGAGAAATTACTTATCAATAGCTGTTTCTCCTGACATCCCAGTCTCCTTTTCTGTTGAACACTTGTACTTCAATTGTGCTTCTCCTTTCTTTTCCTAGAGCTATAACCTTCTCTTTTTCTTCTACCCTCTGATTATTTTCACAAGTGTCTCTTATCTAATCACACTGATGATAAAAACCAACTTCAGAAGGTACACACCAAAAAGACAAGGAAACAAATGGAAGGTCTAATTCAATCTTCTATTTTGCTACATCCTTTTATACATAATAAACACGTCTCAATCAAGGTTTGGACTATGAACTGCCCAATTAACCGTGGCACGAGTTACAACTCAAGCTAACAGCCAAAGGTTAACTTCTGTTACATTATGGTCAATCAAAATATATTATAGCACCTTTAAAGTTGATCACCTTTAAGATACTCCACTCAACAAAATCTTGTCCCAACATTTTTGGGGTTGGCTAAATGAATCATCTTTCGCCATTATACTCTATCAAGGGTTGTGCTTTTTATTAAATCATAAATAAATTATCATGTCTTTCTTTACTATGTCACTTAAAGTTAATTTTGGCATACCTCTACCCCTACGCTTACTTTCAATCGCTATCATATCACTATTTCGCACCGTTGCCGTAGTAGGCCATCAGCCGTCTATAGTGTCCAAACCACCTAAGTTGATTCTTCCTTAATTTATCCTCTATAGATGTCACGTCAACTTTTTCACGAATAATATCGTTTTTAATTCTATACTTCCTAGTTTTTTTTCCGTCTTTTGTACCTAGAGTAAAGATCATCATATACATTGTACTTAACTTCTCTTACCCTTTTTTTTACTTCCTTATTTGTAAACTGATCACCTTTAACATGATCTTTTCAATTATAGAAAAGAAGTGTAAGAGCAGAATATCACATGGGGTATCAACACCCCTATTTAGAGTAATCTCCATAAAAAAATTACCAGACCAAACAAACTTTCTGCTTCCTAACTTTTTAGGTAGAACACAAACATGACAACCCCAAACATGTTTCAAATAGTCTTCTTGTCTGTTGAACGGTTGATGTTAGAGTTAAGTTTTTTGATATTACACACCACATAAAAGAAAACAAAGGGTGGATTTGAAACCCTCCATCCCAACCAGGGTACCACTAGGCAACAAGAGTCTCAAGCTAAAATAACATCATTAATGAATGAGTTAACTACTGTCTTAAAAAAAAGTTCATGAACTGATTTAAGAAGTTTAAGAACCAAAATGGAAGTGGAACAAAATGAGCATTTCGTTGGTTGCTTTCATATCTATTTTCAAATTGAGAGAGTAAGAAGATAAGGAACAACCCTTATTAAAACAGCAACACCGATACTTCTAAGACAAGGCATTGTTTAAAGCAGATTCATATTAAGAAATTCAGCTTTTCATGCTCTGGAACACAATGGCTTGAAGCGGGTTCCAAATATCAACTATAAGGAGCTTTTACCATCTATTACTGTGCATGGATTTGCATGATAGGTGATTTAGTAAAAATAAAATGTATACAAAGAATTTGTAATGGAGATCATGTATTTCTATGCATAAAGGTATTCTAATTGAGTTTTTAGCAGGTAAAAATGACCAAGAAGTACTCCCCACAATTTCAATGAAGAGTATACTCCTATCCACCAATTAAGCAGAATAACTATCAAGGACAATTAATCCTTCACTTTCTTTTTTTTTTTTTGAAGTCATATTTTCCAAGAAAGGAAAATAGGAACGGAAAACAAAATGAAATAGAAAGATGTGATATCATTGTAGAAAAAGAGAATTTTTTTGACTCTTTGTTTTGTATATATATAGTTGGACCGAAAGATTGCTCTTCGGGATTATGAACTAATGCAAGGTCTAGTTCTTATTTGTAATGAAAAATACGCTAGGTTGAAATATCCATTGATATTGCCAAAGAAGCATTTGTTAAACAATGACTTGATCATGGACTATGATTATCTAACAATTCACTATAGTTAATATAGGTGAAGACTGCTGCGCAATCAAATTATGATTTTTGGAGATAGAAGTTATTTACTATCATGGAAATTGGAATAGTCTACCATAGGTGAAAACATAAACCAAGTCTTTCTAGTTTGGTCATGTACAAAAATCAAGTACTAGAATACAGAGACTATGAACAACTCCCTACTTCTACCACATATCAAAACATTGAAATATGGGACCCAACAACATATGGTCCCGGCCATTAACGTTTGCATGGACAAATACTGAGATGATCAAACATCTTGAATCATTTTTTTTTTTGTATCTTCCTCCATATATGTGCTAGTTATTTCATCCATTATCAGCAATCTTTTTGCAAATTAGCCAGGAAAATAAAATAAATTAGGATCAAAGATCAAAATTTCATTTCAAAACGGTTGAAATGGAAGCGTTTACGGGGAGATCAAAACAAATCAATAATGTAATCGAAATTCTAAGGAGTTGTTTAGCAATTGTCTTTGTCTTATATTTTGTGTTTTTGTTTTCAATTTTTGTCAAAAATATGTTTGAATACTATTTTTGTTTTTTTTTTTCTATTAATTGTTTGAAAACAAAGGCAAAAAAATGGGAACAAAAAAAAGATGTTTTAAGAAACACAAAAAACAGAGACAACACGTGCAAAAAAGGTGGGGAATTAATGAAATCCGGACTTTGACTCCTCTTAACAGCAAAACAAGGTTTTTTTTGTTGGAGAATAAAAACCCATTTCATCTCTCTCTCACCTTCCCATCGCCTCTCTCTCTCTCTCTTTCCTCTCTTCCTCCTCTTTCCCTTCTCCTTATCAGACCACCACCAGACGAATCGCTGGCCCGTTACCCACCTCCATCGCTGCCTCCGTCTCTGTATCAGACCACCATAAACGTCTCCGCCTCCATCGATGCATCAGACCTTCATAAACGCCTCTGCCTCCATCGTTGTATTCGACCACCATAAAAAAGCCAGAAGATCTGTGCATATATATGCACAGATCTGTGCATACAATTTTTGTTCTCCAACATTGTTCCTCTAGGGCCTGAAATGGTTCTCTTCTTGTTTGACAAAAAGATAAGGAAAAAGCTAGTTGGACAGACTAGTATCTTATACAGCAATAGTCATCAATTCGTGCTCAAGCCTGAAAAGCGCTAAACGTTGCTCAACTGCCCACTCTAGTTGGCTATTCAGAATAGGAGATGAAATCGAGTCTTCTAATTCCTACTTTCTTTGTCTATCGTTTGGTATTAATTGAATTGTTATTTAAAATTGTTGAATTGCTATTTAGGATTGATTTTTGGGATTGAATTGTCATTTAAAATTGATTGAATTGCTATTTGGGAATGTTGAATTGCCATTTGAGATTGAATTTTCAAATAGATACCAAACATATTTAGGAAAAAATTTAAAATAGTTACCAAAAATATTTTTTGTTTTTATTTTCATAATTTGATAGACAAAAATAACTCCTAAATATATTTTCTATTTCAATATTTATCACAAAATAAAGACAAAAATTATTTCTATTTTTAATTTTTTGAAGACGCAAAAACAAAAACGTTACCAAACAATCCCTAATACTTCAGATTTTTTAGAATGTTCGAGGTGTTTTGGCATGTTTCAACATGTTTCGAAGTGTTTTGGAATATTTCAGTATATTTTGGCCAATGTTTCGAAATGTTTTAAAAATAAATGTCCAAATTTTTTATTCGTTTTTATTCTATTTTCAAAACAGTTTTCGAAATATTATTAAAACGTTGATGTTTCTTAAGTGATCGAAATAATGCACCGAAACTAAATTTTAATCATTGATTAGTACAACAATTCTATCACCAAATGCACACGGTATGGTAAAGTGAAAGCATATGTTCAATTCTCACCAGATGGACCATTTTGATAGCCACCAGACGAACGGCCAAAAAACCGACCACGAGGCCTTTCATCATAACCCGGTCTACCTCCCATATCACGATCAAACCCATTCGAATAATCATATCCAAACCTGTTATGTCAAAGATATCATGTTATGACAGTGAAGTAACACTCACATATGTATAAACTTAATAGCCATGATTGGAAACAATAAAGGTTCATGTAACTAGAAATTTCAATTTAAGATAAAAGATACTTAGAAACTGTCATGCATAAGTACAAGAGATCCAGACTTTATGTAGAAAAAAAGTGCCTGAAAATAAATTATAAGAGAGAAATTCCTATAAAAAGCCAAAAAGGTGGGAACTATAGAAGAAAAGTGCACTAGGGGAGAAGACACCACATGGTCAAGCAATTCACATTTGTATAATACTCCCTTCATCTCATGATTTTGGACCCTTTTTGAGAACTAAACTTTTAATGGAGCTTTATATTATCTATATTACTGATAAATGTCAACATATGTGAAAATTTTTTGATTTTCTATTTTATCCTTAATTATTATTATTAAGACGATTATATCCTCATACTTACGCTCATCTAATTTTTGTTTTCTATAACCTATTTGACTTTCAAGTTTTTTTGGACTCTTTTATAAGTAATATTTGACTTCCAAATTCTTTTTGGACTCATTTACAAGTAGTACGCTTACATACAATTTTTTATAACTACGTATAAGACAAGGTATAATCTATTTTCTACTGTTATACTTGAATTCCACGATCAAATATATGTTATATTTGATTTTTTATTATGCAACAATATAATAATATTATAATCCAAGCAATAGTATTACAATGTAATCAATCAATTTGACAAAGATAAATGTAATCAATATGTACTATAATCATATGTGCAAATACTCAATAACGACAATTTTATAATTAACCTCCACTCTAAGCGCAAGAGAACATGTCTAAAGGGGTCAGAGAGATGCATAAATAAATAGCAGATTAGGTAAATTAAAAGGGATAGAAAAGATCAATAATTAAGTTTAATAAGAATTAAAATAAGGAATAATTCTTCAACACCTACTTTATTATTTAATTTAATTACTCATATAATTCATTTTTCATAGATAAAGTTATTATCTAAATTTGTTTATATGCAACGCAAGTGATGGATTGCTAGTGTATTTAAATAGCAAAATTTCTTTTTTTGACACTTCTCACAAATGTAAAATCAAGGCACAACAGGAATCTTTCATGTAGAAGTACTTTGACTTTTCAATCAAGACTCTAATTTTGGAACACACCAAAAAAGGACGGACTATGTATTGGAATGGAGGAAGCATAAAAGTACTTCATTGCATGCTTCGGTTGGGATCAAGGTGTAAAAGATTCATGAATGAGAAAGGAACAATAAAGATTTGACTTAGACAATTAGAAACCATGTTTTAATTATGAAGGAAAAATAATGAAAACTGCCACATCCTAAGCTACAAACTGCAATGAAATAATGTGAGAGAAAAGTGCCTCTTTAATAAGAAAATGTGATAAATATGATGACAAATGGAGAACAAAAGATGCAGGAAGTGAAAATTTCAAGATTACTTGTGCATGTGTCAAGCCAGCGCCAGTACATGGACATACAAGGGAATACAAAAAATTTGTTTGTAACATGTGCAAATAAAACTTCTGCACTTTTAACAATACCTCAAGCCCTCAGACATATATATGCATAGTTTTTTAGCCAAATGTTCAACAATAAAATGGCATTATCTTATACTATTCAAGCGCTACACTTAAACACCTAGTCACCTACAGAAAGTTGCCAAAACATCTCCTGAGCATAGTCATCACCAGAATCAATGGCCCAATTCCACAAAGTAAGCCTCCATAAATCCAATAAAAAAAAAAGGGGTACCGACTCCAAACTCCATAGCAATACTAGCATCCCGTTGATCAGGTTTCGCCCTACCTCCACAAATGTGACAAACAAAAAACAGAAAAATACACACACGGCTACACAGGAGTCCAGAGAAGATGGCACCTCATTATCACTACAAAATCAAGAACTTAGAACTAATACACTACCAAGGGTTTGGGAAGTATAATTGTCATTTTTCCGATAATCCTTTCAAGGAAAAATGCTTTGGGCATGATAGAAAAGACAGAAACAGCAGTCCCTTGCCAAACATTACAGGCGCTCAAGAAGGTTCATAAGTGCATATTGACATGCCTACACATATTTGTACATAAATTCACTAACCTCGCTATAGAATTTGTGCACAAAAGCTATTAATTATAACCAAATTCACAGAACATCAACAAAACCCGACTAATCTCATATAATAGAGAGAGAGAGAGAGAAAGAAAGAAAGAGTGAGAAAAATTACTCAACTGACCTCCTATCCCCAGGTCCATACCCTCCTCTAGGACTACCACGCCGCCCATCATATCCTCCCTCATCCCTCCTCGACCGCTTATACGGTTGAAGCGGAGGCGACCTTCGCTGAGGCGAATGGCCTCCACGTCTATCCTTATACGGAGGAGGGGGAGGAGAGCTAGGGCTACCCCTTCCCCGCTTATAGTCCCTCTCTCTAATTGGTGGAGGCGGAGGAGACCTATTCCGATCGTAATAGTCTCCGCGACCTCTTGGCGGCCGATCAGTGTCGCGGTCTTCCTTTCTCTCTCTAGAGTCCCTATCTCGCCGTCGCGGTGGTGGCGGAGGTGAATCGGGATTGTCTTCTGCGGACTTGTTCTCCTTGCGGTCTCGACGGTGGTCTACGGAGTCGACGGGCATGTTCATGACCTCGGCCATTGGGCGGAGATTTGGGAACGAAACCCTATAAATATAGCAGCAATGTGTGTGTGTATGAGAGAGAGAATTGGAGGGGATGAAGCGAAGACGACGTAAAGACTGATTTCGACACTCGGGAGTCGGGAGTCTCTGAGGAGAGGGATTGATAAATTGCGGTAATTACAGAAAATTCCCTGTAATTAGAAACGGTAACAGGAAACCCCGCGTATTTCCTTTAACCTAATACTAAATTGAATTCCCTGATAAACTTGCAACCAATGCCAAGTCCATCGTACAATCGATGATATACAAAAATGGCTTATGTATAATACAGACTAATTAATAGATAATTACTAAAGTAATTAATAGTAAAAGACAAATATTTAGTCAACATACAAGTATATAGTTGTTCGGTCAAAGGACCTATTCCAAGGAGGCAACATTTATTAATAAAGTAAGGTGAGAGAGAGAGCTCCGTAAGAGGTATGGTAGCTATGAGAGACATAATTATGTCGAGGTGTGTAAAGGGTTGTCCCTCTTATATGGAAATGTCTTACAATTTATAGGCACGGAATCTTAGTTGAAGCGGTGGCGTGAAGGAATAAGTGACTAGCTTTTGGGGGGATAACTATAGCTAAGCATAGGTATACTTAAAAATAGACTTCATTTGGGAGAGTAGTTATCTCGATGATCGATCCCCACGTGTGCTAGATTCTTGGGTCTCATGAATCTTGGATTGGGCTAAATCCACAAACTTGACTTGACCTGTCTTGTAACTAATTTGGACTTACTTGATTAATTGGGTCTGACCCAGTTGGATCTGAGCTCATTACGATCGATTAAAGTAACAAATTATCCTTATATCAACTACATGCAATTACCAAAAGATGATCCTTATGCACATTGAGGAGATGGAGTGAAGACATTTTTAGACTTTGAAGAATGATAAATATGGGTAATAACAAAAATGTTCTCTATAATTATAAATAGTAACAAGAACTCTTATTTCTTTAACTTTTATTCTAAATCCCCTAAAGTTGCAATTAAGGCGACATCCATCATATAATCTGTATATCAACGACATTAGGGGTGGGCACCGACTCCGATGGGGTCGGAAGACATCAATTCAACCTTCGACTTAGACTTCAGTTAGAATGAGTTTTCCCCTCCAACTCCGACTCCATAATACATTGTTTCCGCCTCTGCCAATCAAAGCTGAATCGAAGTCGGAACGAAATTTTGGAAATTGACACAATCCCAAAAAAAGAAAAAATAGACAACGTACAAAAAATCCCCCCAAAAAATAGACAATGTACAAAAATTTTACATTGTAAACACACTTAGATGAAGCTTCAATCGAATCATAACAACCAAATAAATGTAAACATGTCAAAATACACACACATATATATACATAGATATATATATTTATATAGAGAGAAAGAGAGATAGTGTGTGTGTTACTGTTTGAGAGAGAGTTTCGTTGAAGATGAGACCATCGTTAGAGCTGCTTCATTGAAGATATCAGATCTAAGGATCTGTGTGTTATTCCATTGAAAGAGTGAGATATATCGTCGACTAAGAGGGAGATAGATGGAGGGGCAGGGTTGTTCGTCCTTGACTGAGAGAGAAAGGGAGAGAGACAAAGGGAGATAGAGGGCTTGCGTGCATTGACTCTCTTTGTGTGTGTATGAGTGAGGGAGAGAGAGGGGGGAACATGATTCAGTGTGAATTGTGGGGCTGTAGTGCTTATAATTGAGCTTAGGGGCTTAAATACTTTGGTGGGTTGGACTTAAGATTTTGGATGTATAATAATATATTATGTAATTTATAATTTATATATAAAATTATTAATTAATAAAAGTCGAAGTCAGAGTTTTTTCGGAATGGACTGCAGACTCCGACTCCAACCCCAACTCTGATCAGAGTCTATAATTTTCCTCTGACTCCAATTCCGACTCTGAAAAACTCTGACTCCGGTGGAGGTGGAGTCAGAGTCAAAGTCGGATTTTTGGATTCTTGCACACCCCTAAACGACATACTCAACTACCAACTACCATAACATGATCTTTTTTTGTACAAAGTGCATCTACTCTTTGATTCTCTCCCTCTCTATTTGTACAAGGAATATTTTCATACCTTGAGAATTGTGAAATGGATAATAACCTAGGAATTGAATGACTTGAATCGACAAAACATATTAGGTGCACATTCTTCCTATAATACAAAATATCACAGATTAGGGTTAAGCCGGCCGAAGACATTCAATGTTTAAGTTAGTAAATGCTCTAAAGTTATCAAGCAATTAGTAGGGAAAGAAGTATATAATTTTAGACTCAGTCTCATATGGCATTCTCGGCTTTTTATGGTTTAGAATTATGGCTATAATAGAGTGACACACCTATTTTTTAGTCAGCCTTCCCAAATTTGTGTTTGAATATTTCTAAGTTTCTTTTCTCATTAGTTGATCTTTTAGGTCATGTGTTTGTGCACCTTTGGTTAGGTTGTTTTCCTTATCATTGTCTATGACTGCCTTTGATTGTTAGTGATAGCCTAGCTATCCTTTGCTCAAGTAAGCCTAGTCCTTATCCCCAGAGTGTCGCACCCTATCTCAAACATAGTACATATTGTCTATTCTAGGAGAGTGAACCCCATAATTAGACCAATAACTTGTTACCCTGAGCATGATAATTAATAAATTTATATATGATTTCACCAAGAAGCTTTCATAGAAATTTAGCCATATGTACATTGACATAGATTTTGTCTCACTTAACTTATACAACAAACAATTGTACCTCGACAACTGTACGTATATACATGACCAACATGTTAACAACCAGACACACACACCAACAACCCTAACTGTCCAGACCCAAGAGTGGACTCCTCCTCGTAAACCTTGGTTACCTAAAATACAAAAATTTTGGAGGGGGGAGCTCAACGCGCTTAGTGAATGTACATCTTAATTTAATAGATAATAATGAAAACATACTTCACACACTAGCACGATATCATATATAAATCAAACATTATACCATCAAAAATATTAACATCGTATCCTTACTCCTCAACAACATTCCATATGTATCAAACTCATAAATATCCATATGTCATTGTATATGACATTTACACATATAAGTACTTGCCACTAAGGCCACAGTTTAGTCATTAAGACTATGTTTTTGCCATTAAAGAATGAATTGTCACTAAGGCACAACAACGCCACTAAGGCCATACAATCACCGCTAAAGCCAAACAATTGCCCTTCTTGGGCTATAATAGTCAATAGGTTGTTTACCTGTCAATTAAACCATTCAAATAATCCATATCAACCAAACAACCATTTATCCATTTACTATCAATAACTTGGAATTAGCCAGAAAGGCTAAACTTACCACATTGAAGACAACAAAACACATTTATAACAATAATCGCCACACTCACATCTCAATAAACACATAGGTATATTTTAGCCATTATCAATCATATGAAAATGCACACTCACCTCAAATCCAATAATATGACAATTTAGTTCCTAGACGAGACCTTAGACGTACTCGGCATAGATGTTAACGCCTCAGTTCCTAGCGCATTTCATAGTAGATCACGAATAAGTATCCTAACATATACATTTAGTATTAACCATGCATATATAAATACATGCTCATGCTCATGTTAACATATTTCCAAATTCTTCTCCAAGTGGTGTATGTTAATCACCCAAAAAATTGATTATCACTTACTCATTTTTATTCTAAGTTAAATCTTCAATTTTCATAATTGTTGGCAACTAAAACCATAAAGAACTTATTTGAGATCTATTAGATGCTCCGATAAGTTTTTCGATGAGTTGGATGGAAGCTCAGAACAACACAACAAAATAGCCTAAACTAGACCTAATGAACCTGTTCAAGTCCAACAAGTTCAACCCCAAAAACAAGATGTTGTTGAACCGGTTCAATTCCAATGGGATTAACCCCAAAAACAGGATGTTGAACCGGTTCAAGCAACTTTGAACAAGTTTAACCCCAAATAGAACCCCGTTCAACTGGTTCAACTCTGAACTGAGAGTTTCTTCTCCATTCTAAATCCCTCTTCCACTATCAAAACTCAACCCTAAATCTTTTAAACTACCAACCATACCACTCTTATGCATTTAAAAGCTTTAAAGCCTAACAATTTCAAGTAAATAGCTTACCTTTGGAGCGACCCAATTCCTTTAAAATTCTCCGCAACTTCCCGACTTGAAGAACCTAGGGTTCTTTGTTTCCCAACACAACACCCACAACCCAAAAGCTTGAATTTAAGTAACACTATAAATTTAATGAAAGAAAATGAACTTGTTTCAACTCAAGAAAGCAAAAGATCTCCCTTTCTTCATGTCGTCTTCTTCCAACCAAAAGCTTGACTTCTATATCCACAAAAGCTAACCCCTAAGAGTCGGTGCAACCAAAAATGAAGGCTCTCCCAACCTTCAGCACATTCCATGCACACTCAGAGCTCTCCAAGGATGCCAGATGTCTTTCCTAATTCATGCAATTCCCCATAATTACACCCCATCCCCCTTTAATTCCTTTATTCTTATAATTAACACATAAATTCTGCGTTACAAACTAAATTGGATCAAGACACTTACAATTTATTACGTCAACTCCTAGGTATCATTAATACGTTCCATCACCTATGTTCTACAATTCATTAATTATGATTTAATCACATAATTAGTATGAGCAAATTACATTTTAACCAACAACACTAAGCAAAATGTTATGCTATGCATGATCGGATTTCGCATAGTCTCATTCGGGCGCTATTTTTTCAAAGTGTTTTCCATATGTTTGCTCAGTTTGCACAAACTACTCGGGAGCTTAGCTATCCAAACTGTTTGCTGAAGGTGATTGTCGGCTGACCGATCGAACTTCTTGCAGCAACTTCACCAATTGTCTCATTTCATTGATTTCACGTGTGTTAATGTCACATGCCCGTATTAAATATTCTAATCATGCAAAGGGATATTCTGAACCTCTTAATCTTTTCCCAAAGCCTGTTTGACATATGGAAAATGCTAACAAACCTGATTTGTTGTA